TTCTGGTTCCCGAAGAACTGAACCAAACCATAAACCAATTGTTTTCTTAATAATAGAACCAAATGGCTTTTTTAAAGATATGGAACCAAACTGAACCGATCCATTTGGTTCTGGTTTGATTTGGTCTGGTTCTAGCTCTATTGCTTAAATTTTCAAACTTACGTCATATGCATAAGTTAGTAATATATATTTAAATAAAAAATTATATGTACCAAACATTTAGCAAATTCAAATTATCAATCATCAAGATTTCAAAAGTTCAAACTAACGAACAAAATATAAACAAATGCTTATTTGTCAAAAGTTAATAATATCAAGTTTCATCTTCATCCTTCGTCCAATCAATACCTTTACATGAAACAACCAAACCTAGATGCTTCGTTTGAGAGATATGCAGGGCAGCTTTTGAGACTCTTCAAGGTTTAAATTTGAAGTAGTATCCTTAATGGGCTGTACAATAATAATGGCTATTGGATTGGCTTCAATTAATACAAGATTAGATTCATATAAAAATAAAATTATAAATTAAATTTGGTTCTTGGTTTGGTTCTCAGTTCTAGAATTAAAACCTAAAGCAAATGGTTCTCGCTACAAAGAACCAACACCGTTCTTTTTTTTTTTTTTTGTGGAATCGAACCAAATCGAACCGCTCGATTTGTTTTGATTTTGATTTGATTTAGTTTGATCTGGTTTGAACATTTTGTCCACCCCTATTTCTTGTTACAAATTGAATATGTGTAATTAAAATATGTTCGATTATTTAAGTCATAGGTATATGAAATGGTCCCACAATCTGTTTCATATCATTACTTCTTATTTTATTCGATTTGTATTATTTTAATAATTGGATTAAAATAGACTAGAATAGACCTTTACAAGCCTAATGTCTACTAGCATAACATAATGCCAAGAATCTTCTTGAAGGTACACTATTTTATTTCAACTTCAATTTCTTGTCATGGTTTATTTTTTAATTTTAAGTTCATATCGATAGAGCATGTTAACCTCATATTTTCAAATATTTTATCTAATTTGCAAGCAATGATATGGTGTGGGACACTACAGCAATTTTCCCTATATTTAATAAATAAAAACCGCAATGATTGCTTAGCTCTCGTTTGGCCCCCATTTTGTAGAAGTAAAAACGAATGTAACA